TGTGTCTGTGTGTGTGTGTGTGTGTGTGTGTGTGTGTGTGTGTGTGTGTGTGTGTGTGTGTGTGTGTGTGTGTGTGTGTGTGTGTGTGTGTGTGTGTGTGTGTGTGTGTGTGCTGCGTCTCCTCCAGAGCTGCCATTCAGTCTCCGAGAAGCTTCTCCAGAATTAGCGCTGTGTATTTTCAGCCTGCATGGCTCATCTCTCACCAATGCCCCTGTTTGAATTCAGCCTCAGCTTCTCTTTACCTCCAAATCCACCTCCATCACTTCGATCTCATTCCCCAAACCTCATACAAACACATTCTCACAGCAAACTTTCAAACTATATACTCTTTTGCCTAATTGCTATACAAAGTTTGACGGAGCATTTATTTTGAAGGTTGATATTGATATTTATAATAAAGAACAAATAGCTCGTAGTCTTTTAAGAAAAGTAAGATAAAGCAGGGCGATGGAAATGAAAATCTTCTTTCAAGCTCAACATTAAAGTTGTCAGTATTTCAAGTATCTTAACAGTGCAATAGCTGTGCATGGCAACAGCCAGATAGCAAAGCTGAGGGAAATATTTTGGTCATGACAAATGAACTTGGTTATTATTATTATTATTGGTTATGGAATATTTATGCCTTAACCAAGCCTCCATTGGACTCATTTGTTTACTTCAGTAACATAGTGACATCATAACACTCACGCTTATATTGGCTAGTGCTAACCAATCAGAGCAGACTGGGCTCTGGTTTCAGACAGAGGGTGAAAAGAGGTGCTGCAGCACAGGCAGTATGAGAAAAATAAAGAACATTAAAGAATGGATATGCCATGGAAATGCATAATAGGGCCTCTTTAATATAAAGGTTGATGGTATGGCACTTGTGAGGTGTAGAATCGTCCAATATCAAATTAATTCATAATAATTGATAGTTGTAACTTGATTGATTGATAACTAGATTTTTCAACAATCAAAATCTCTTCCCCCTCCAAATAGTGTTTACCGCCCGGTGAATTTTTTTCTCCCATTGGACACCTTCTCACGTCTTCTATGCAACTGTGATGATGAGGCTGACCCCACAGGTGGTTTGCATAGTGGCATCTTGATTTACCTCACATATCCAGAAAGAGCTCAAAGTAGAATGAATGCAGCATGTCGTGAAGAACAGGTTGAGGGTGTTTCTGTCTCCGATCAAGAAGCCTCATGAATGTCTTTATGTAGACACTTTTCTAGCATGGATGGGTGGCTGAGGCTCAGGAGGTAGATGGTTGCTCTCCAACTGAAGGGTGGTGGTTTGATCCAAAGTCTGCAAGATGCTTAACCCCAAATTGCTTCCAATGTCACGGCCAACAAAGTGTGTGTGTGTGTGTGTGCGTGCGTGCGTGCGTGCGTGCGTGCGTGCGTGCGTGTGTGTGTGTGTGCATGCGTGCGTGCGTGTGTGTGTGTGTGTGTGTGTGTGTGTGTGTGTGTGTGTGTGTGTGTGTGTGTGTGTGTGTGTGTGTGTGTGTGTGTGTGTGTGTGTGGGGGTGTGTGTGTGTNACTCTATATTAGATTCTGTTGGTTTCTGTCAGAGTGTAAATAAACCAACCCACTGCTATAATCACACTCTTGACCTTGTTCTGACTTATGGTATTGAAAATTTCAATACCATAAGTCAGAACAAGGTCAAGAGTGTGATTATAGCAGTGGGTTGGTTTATTTACACTCTGACAGAAACCAACAGAATCTAATATAGAGTTAAATGCAACAGTATGGCTATTTTTATCATCGTCAACATGAATATGAATATACTTTATAGAGATGTGAAAAAACACCCCGCAGCCCCCTCCACTGGGGGCTCTCGGGCTTAACAGGTGGGCAGACACCACTGGGGCACAGAGACGTGCTGATGGAGCTCACCGCTGTCTTTGTTTTTATCTGCAGTTAAAGGTTTCAAGACAGGAGAAAGCATTAGTTCATTGCAACAGACTTTATTGATTCCAAGAGTTATGGGTTGGAAAACCTCAAGTAATTTGAGTTCCCTCTAGGACAATCTCACAATGTTTATATGCTGTAGGGTTGGTACTGTTCCTATAGTCTCCTGAAAAGACCTCAACCAAAATCAATGTATACATCTATTATCATTGTTCATGGAGTATGTGTTTTCAATACAAGGAACATAGTTTATTCCAGGCAGCTCTGAGATTGTTTTTTCGAGTCTCTGCAGAGCAAAGCTTCACAGAGGTCGCTTGTTAACACTACAATGCTAGTTTGAAAATCTCAGTGGAATAATCTCCAATGGTAATGGTAACATAATTATGAAAGAAGCATCAGACACTGATTCTGCAAAGAACAGATATAACAAGTCCTCGAATGAAATACTCCAAATGCATCATGATAACTACAGGGAAATTGGTTCGATCATATCAGTGTCTTTGTCTTCCACTGAGCCATGAAATAGATGCTCATGATTTCCCTTTAATCTGAAGGACAAAAGCCTCCCCCCCGGGTTGGCAGAAAATCTCATTATCAACCAGAGTCTGCTTTGCAACACCGACACGACAGCTGTTTCCCAGCCTCACATTGCTGCCTGATTATGTTATTGCTGCTTATGAGACTTCATTTTTATTCTCAGACAGTCATATCAAACTAATGTCACTCTGAGGACACACACAGACACTTTTCTGAGGTGGAAACATTGAGTTTTCACATTTCGACAATATATATCCCAATACAGACACATTTTGGGAGTTAGTATATTCAGAGCCTTGTCTGGATGGGGGATGGGGATTTGCATTTACCCAAGAACATGTGCTCCTAAGAACATTTCCGAGGTGGAGTGAAAGTGCTGTGTTGAATTTTCTTTGTAATGAGTGTTCAGAGAGCAATCACTGAAAGCTGAATGCAGTTGGTGACAGAGCTGTTAGCAGCAGCGTTGTCATCTTAGGGACGGGAAGTTCTGGCAATAAAGATACTTTTTGTGTCTTCTTTTTCTTACAAGGAGATGGTGCGCTAATTTGTGAGGACCAATCTGAGTTAAGACCCAAAGATTAAACTTTTGAAAAATCTTTAGGGTTTAGTTTCAAAGGAGTTGTTTGACACTTTGGATAAATGCTTACTTGTTTGATGAGAGTTAGAGGACAACATTGATACAGCGCTCATTTCAGTTTGTACATTTGAATCTACCACCAGGAAACAGTTTGATTGCATAAAGATTGGAATTTACTACACAATTGTTATTTCACTTCTGAAAAAAGTGTTTGGATGAAGATGATCGCTTTTTTCAACTACTCCTTTATGGTTCAAGTTAGAACATGCATTACTGTATGTAAATGAGGTTCCTAACAAGCACAGTGCAAACACTTGTGTTATAGTGTGTACTCTGTGTAAACCCAAATGCTGAATATGGACTCATTTATTAGCATCATGTTAGCATCTGAGTGCAATTCTGAATGAGAGGCTACAAAACAAATTAAACAGTAGAGGGAAAACCCACTCACCAATAATTGATGTGACTCATTCTGTTTTAGACAAGACAAAGAGCTACCTGTGAAGAGAAACACTCAGCGGTAATGATGACAAAGACATTGAGCTTTGTTTTGATTGGCCTAAGGAATCGTCATACATTACATTACATGTCACTTGTTGTTAGACGCTTTTATCCAAAGCAACTTACATACTTGATACTGTGGGCAATCCCCGCAGGAGCAATTTGGGGTGAAGCGCCTTGCAGGGACACAACGACATGCTGACTGCAGTGGGGTTCGAACCTGTGCTCCCCTGATCCCAACACCAACGCACAACCCACTGCACCACACGCCTCCCTGTCATAGTGACGAGGAAGGGAGGAACGGTAACAGGAAAGGCAACTTCCACCTGTCACAATGGTGGACAAGCGTCTGTATATAAAAAAATGGGAAAAGGTGCAAATAAGGAATAATTGCATCTATGACAACAGTAGCAATAAGGCACAGATCCAACATTTAGACAAAAATCAGGTTAACAGGATGGAGTATAAAAGTTAAAGGTAGGAATCTGCCAAGAGAGGTTGCGTAAGTACAATGTACGCAATCAGCCAAATCAAGGAGTTGATTATTGATTCTTGAAGTAAGAAGGTGAAGACGCACTCTGGTCTTAATCAGTGGAGCAAGTGAAGAGTTTCAGTTTGTGGGAATCAGCATCACAATCAACAATCAACCTGACATCAAACATCTGCTGAAAAAGACCCAGAAAACACGTAATTATTCAAGGATACTTAAAAAGAAAAATATTGAATGCCCTTGGTATTGAAATACTTTGATTGTTTTTTAAATATTACATCACTTCCACACTGATTAATGAGGCATCCCTTTTATTGTTTTAATTAAGCTACAGTAATTTTCTGTCCTCATCTGTCATGCAACAACACGATCCAAACACAGGTTCAAGTGTTCACTTCGCTGCATGCACTGTTTGATTAAGTAGCTAATTTCAGTGTTTATGTTTTTCTCAGAGATGCATGTCTGAATCAATCTGCTGTCTCTGGCACACAGCACAGGCGCCATGATGTTGGAAGTGTTGTTGGAGGAGGGGATGATGAGGAAGATTAAGATGTCCATCTGTTGCAGAGCAGTCAGCTCAGATTAGCGTGCTGATTTGGTATGATACTTGTGCGAAAATGATTGCAAATGGAGTTAAGGAAATGTAACCCATATAAAATAGCAGCACTCAGTGTGATAAATGTTAATCAGGCAACAGCAGAATTCAGCAGGGAGAAGCTGAGTAAATACAGCTGAGTCCGTGTGGTGTTTACTGACCGTTTAACCCTGACCAACTGAATACAAAACTGAATAACGCGAGTGACCGAGCAAATGAACCAATGAACGATTCACTGAATGAGTGAGTTAACCTGTTGACCCAGGAGGTGTATTGATTTTTAAAAGGACATTAAATAAAGTATTGATAACTTTGATTATCCTCAAAAGCAAAGTCAGATTCTAAATCTAAAAAACAGGAGATCACCAGCTAGAGGAATTCGACATTCACACAAAACTGTATGTACACATAGACAAAAGTATTGGGACACAGATTGAAGGATGAAGTAGGAAATTACGTAGTGGAGGAAGAGTGAGGGAGAAACAGCTGGAAGGACTAGATGAGGTCTTTCTGTTTAAAGGATATAACAACATTCTGGGAAATATGCTTATTCACTTCCTGGCAAAGAGTTCAGTGACAGCTTCGCCCAAAGACTCTTTCCAACAGTGACAAAATACACCATCCAGCATCTCTTAAACTCACTGATGTATCTCCTTTGGCCCGTCTTTCAGCCCGTTACTATGACAGGGCAGGAAGTGGAGCAGGACACTCACTTAGAATATTTAGTTACAAATATTTGACAATAAACTCACCTTTCAGACTAATGCAAAAATAAATCAAAAGAAAGTCAAATGAGCGGCTCACTCCTCTGGAAATGGAGCGCTTCAATGCCAAAAACACCCTGACCATGATCTACAAGTCGCTCACTAAGAGTATTCTCACATTTAACTACAGTAATATATTACTTTATGAGTAATATCTCATTGTTACGCCTTTGGGCAGGTCAATGCTATCTCAGCAATGCTTGAGGAATCTTCCCCACATATAGCTCAAACATCCACTTGGACTCAAGTTTAACCTGATTTAATTTAAGGTTCATGGGACAAGGTCACTGTGTCCGCACAAAACATGTTGTGGGCCATAACTTAAGCACTCTTATGCTAATTACAACAATTTCCCACAAATGTGTTTTAGGATGAAATGAAGAAGCAATTACATTGGTTAAGGCATACAGGCAGTTCATGTGTGTATTCATTTTTTAGTAATACTTATTATTGGATGAAAGTAATGTTTTGCTTAAATGTGCACGTTGTTTAAGAATTACCCTTAACTTTATCTGAAACTAATATGAAACTTGCAGATTCCTAATACCTGGATATCTTCCAAAGTTACAATCTGTTTCAGTATCACAATTCCCTGGACTTTCTTTCCTATTGTAACATATATGAATATTCACTAACCTGTATCTGACTTGAACTTCCAGTCTCATACACGTTTTTCTTAACTACTTGCAAATTCCCTTATCCATAGCTTTCATACTAATATCTGAGATAACTCCATCCCTCCTGTAGCGCTGAATTCAGATCTCAGATCTCCCAAACCGTCCATCTCATTTCTCATCCATTAATCTGGATCCTCAGTGCTCACCATATCTATTTCTCTGTGCTTTTATGATCCAAATACTTCTTCTCGCCTTCATTTCTAAGCTTTATCCTGACTTTTCTCACAATCTCACCAAAATAAATCACTCTATTCATGGCATCTTAACACTATCCCACTCATCCTTTCATTCGCTAGCCCCTAACTTTACTGTAGAAAAGTTTTACTTAAACAATGAAATTAGGAAATCTCGAGCGATTAGTATCACTATAAAAAGAAGTGGTACTATTCCAAGGTAGTGTCTTCATAAGTTTGGCTCCAAAGACAAATCTGCTCTTCTGCTAAAAAACAGTTTTAAGTCAAGATGTCCTGCAGGGCTGCTACTGTACAGACTGCTCCATCTTTGAAGACTCATCCAATGAAAAGGCTCCATTAATGCCTGTATGACAACCGCTAAACAAGCAGTTTTTGATCTGAATAGAAATGCACGTTTTGAAACAAATTAAAAGCAAGACAGTTTTGGGCACAAAGACCAAAGCAGCTGCATCAAAGAAGACCTGGTAATTCAAACCTTTAGGTATAGGAACAAGATTCAGTCCAAATTCAGCATTAATAAGCTCAAATGAAAGGATTTGCATGAAAGGTTTCCACGATCGGGGTAATAATATAATCTAACTGGATGGTTTTACCTCGAAGCAGCTGCCAGATGACCTAAATGTATTTTATCTAGGGTCGATACTTTTTCTCTCAGTTTAGAATGTGTGTGAAGTTTCCAGGTATGATCTTAAAATGGACTTACATGTACATCGCTGCAAATGTATGTTTTAATGTTTCTTTTTTCTCACCGTTCTATTAAATAAAATTGTGAAACAGGATTTATTAATGAGTCTCCTTTCAAACCTCTTTTGAATGCCTGTCTGTTACTAATCTTCACATTTTGAGTGGGTGATGATTGTCAATTATTGGCCGACTGCAAACGGAAACCAGATTGGTTCCGATAGTAAAACCTGCTGCATTCAGAATTTGTTATAGCGATAATGAAGCTCCTGTCAAAGCAGCCCTACGAGGCTCGACACGTTTACATTATACTCCTCTGTTAGAAGAGAAAGACCAAATAATAGTTAATTGTTCTCAAATTGCTGCAGCTAGCGGTAATACGATTCTGTTGTCTGTATTATTTATGAATTGCTGTTTTTTAAACAAAATGTGTGCTATTTATAATATATTTCTATTACATTTTCTCAAATCATTTAATTTAGAAGTTTTTGCTGTTTTCTACATACATGACAAATTTAATTTGACGTGGAAACTCTTTTTAATCACAGATTACAGATTGCAAATGGCTTTGCTCGAGGTTCTCAATGCACGGATATAAATCACAGTAAATGGTAAATAAGACAACAGACTAAAGTGTCTCTACCTGTCTATGCTTCATTAAGTTCCTATGGCACTTATGGTCCTCATTAGTAGCCTACTTGCTGAAACTACTTACAGTTGACAGATTCATGATGCCCAAAACAAATGCAAAACATGCCAGAGACTTTCCGAACAAACGTTTTAATGTAACGAGAACTGGCTTTAGCAGTTGACTCATTTCACTTCAGCCCTTTCCTCTGACTAGTTATTTTGCTTTTGAAGCTTTAATGTGATAAAAGCTATTCTGATATGTCAGTCTCTTTTTGAGATTTTATTTATCAGTAGTGATGGATTTATTTACATGTTTGTGGGAGGTTTTAAACATGTTGTTGTTGTTGTATATGCTTTAATAAATAGTTTTTCCCCTTGATGCAAACTATTCCCTTAGGAAAAGAAGGCTGAAGTTGGCCATCCTACATTTAAAAAAGCATCAGAAACTGATTTTAGTTTTTAAAGACCGAAGATGCAGGTGGTCTAGTGATAGATAGGATTCACAGGGAGTCCATTCAGGAGATGAGATCAGACTAATCCCAGCAAATATCTCACACACACACAACTCTCACACACAGGGACACCAGTTTCTCCTGCCTCTTATCAGCTCATCCTGTTAGTTTCCCCACATTAGAGCTAAAGCAGCGCTTTGCAGCACTTAACCTGCACGTGTCAAGCTGAATTAGGTTTAGTGGAAGAGAAGACAGAGTCCTCCTGCCCAGTACAGCAAATCTAAATAATGATGCTAAAAACCAGGAAGGCAAAGAATAATTTAAAGATGAAATCCCAATGTATGTTCTTCTATGCTAGTGGTGTGGCTATATAGCAGTTGTCATTCAATCAACCTCAGTTTAAGTGAAACCTTACATACATTCTAGTATTTAGAAAGTGACAATGTTTCAGTTGAACATTGTGTACTCTTAATAGTACAGTTGCAGTTAAATGGACATTTTACATGCACCATCTTTGTGTATGAGTGCACATGTGAAGGAAAACGTCCACAGTGACTGCATCAAAATACTCTAACAGGGCTGAACACAATCAGACAATCAAGTGCAAAACAGGCAGCCCTGTGTCATTAAGCTCTGTGTGTGTGTGTGTGTGTGCCTCATGGCTTTGTTTTTGACCTGCACAAGCTGTACGTAAAGGCCACGTCATGTACATGCTTTTGTGATGCTAATTGTGACATTAAACTATGTGGAAATTGTCAGAGACCTGCATAATGATTTGAAGACCTCACTGAGTGGGGTCAAGGTGTTCCTGCTGAAGTGCCTTCGAGCAACACACTCAACCTCAACCCAGCTGCAGGGCCACTGACATGTTTCTGACGTTGTGTTCTGCATTGGAGCCAAGAAGAAAACATTTCATTATGACCATTGCAAGATGACAATTGCAGATAGAGCCCCCTCTTCTGGAAATTATGGAATAATGCAGATAATTTGGCAAAAGTACATGGATCTTTAATCATTTTCATCTAATAGATGCTTCAGGGAGTTTTTCGTCAACGACAGCTGAGATTTTATAATGATAGATTTTTTTCCCTCAGGGGGAATACTCTAACAGGGCTGAAAAGCTAAATTTTGATTTTGATGAAACTTTGATGCAGTGATGAGATTATCTAGTAAGTCACTCGACAAAACCAGCGGTTAAAGGATCAATTAAACTTGTAAGTCACCACTGCCTCTAACTCAAAGAAAACCGGGGTGAAAAGCATTTATTGATAACAGATTTTAGACAATTCCACTTCTTTTTTGAGGCAAGGACGTTTCTCTGCTGGATTTCAACAGCATCTGATCGGATAAAAGAGTAACGTTTGAAACAGGCACTGCTGGATGAATGTAGATATCCGTGAATGGGACTTGGTTAGCGACATTCTTTTGGAAAATAAACCTCAAACATCACTAGGAGTAAAGTTTAAAATATATTATCCATCCTGTTCCACTTTGTTGTTCCATGTTTAGGCATACATGTGATTTTGTTAATCCTACCAGTGCTCATCTCATTCAAAACTACTCAAGAGAAAATCTTCAACAAAATTCCCATCCGGATCTGCCATTTAATATCAACAATAAAAACAGTCCAGAAACAATCCTGGGTTTTAGTAAAAGCAAGCATGTACAGTAGTAGAGCTGTAAGAGTACAATACAATCTGCAAATACGCATGACAAATATAACTGAATTAGTCCAGCGGCATAACAGACCAATTGTTCAAATTGTTCTAAAAGCACCAAAATTGGCACACATGTAGATTAATACATTCTGAACAATTTTGGATATGGAGGCATTCAAGATTCTCCCCGTAGCAGATTTGGCGGCCATTTTTTTAAATGGCCGCTATTTACCATTAGCGTCATTGAATATGTACCATAATTTGTCTTTTNAAATGGGAGAAACCTCAGGGAGAGCAACAGAGGAGGGATCCCTCTCCCAGGACAGACAGACGTGCAATAGATGCCGTGTGTATGCCTAGAGGTGATAAGTATTGTACAATTACACATACTTGTGTGCTTACCAAATATTGATGATAGCCATTTTGACAAAATGGCTACCATTTTACAAGAAAAATGCCACTATTCACTCTAGCAAAACAGATCCAGTGGAAGTGGCCAGACACATATGGAGAAGACCAACTGGTGGTGGTGTTCGGGGGGTTGCATATTGAGATGACGGCACTGAAGACCCTGGGTGACTGGTTGCAGGGAAGTGGGTGGACCCAAGCACTGGTACAAGCAGAGATCACAACTGCAGGAACAGCAGACTAATTTCTTCGAGCAGCTCACGTCACACGCACCAGAAGAGCACACCAAGTCACAGCGGCTGCCTTGTACATACTCCAACGNGTCGGGGTCAGACAACCACTCCCTCGTGCCGGAGACCCATGGTTACGGACCGGGGTCTGTACCTGGTGGGACTTCCCGTCTAGAGAAGTGTACGACGAGTCTCGTCGCATCAACCGCACCTACAAGACTTGTCTCCGAGAGAACGTTTATTGAAGAAAGAGTGGAACAATGCAGGAACGTAAACGAACACAGACAGTAATGTCCCTCATAATGTTTGGAGAGCTACTCGAACGTTGTATCCCAACCTTCTCCTCAAGAACTCTGCACTGACACAGACTGTCGACCCTCCGAGGACACAGAACCAACGAGGGACGAAGCGGGAAACGAACTGTGACAACCTTGAGACTCTCCGACGCGTTACCTTTCTCGACGAACACCAGCTTCTTCTTACCGAAAACCAAGAACTACGACCCCGGTAGGTCGTGGTATAAATAGTAACGTTGATCATGCAAACCGTGTCTCAGGAGCGACTGTTGGCGGAACCTTACTAGGTGAACTTAGCCAGTACAGAAGTTTGTATATAGCTGTTTGATAGACACGTCGTCCCTTCCACTTGACGGAGTCACAGTGTCAGAACGGAGCGTCGAAACTGGATCGGAAGGTGGTTACAGAAGTAGTTTGCGATCATCTTGTAGAGCCGGAAATGAGACCCGAGAGTCAGGACCATTGACCCGATCGTCCGCGAGGAAAGTCGGAACACGATAATTGAAAGAACGTGTTTCGTTGGGGCCTCGACAAGGATAAACAGCACATATCCGAAACGTTCTAGACGCTCAGACTTCTAGCCGCTACGGGAGAAGATCCACCCAAAGGAGCTATATGATCCTGGTCAAGTGGTCATGCCCTAAGAACTGTAGTGTGGAAGTACCAGTCAACACGAGCGAAGATGTCACCAGAAATGTGCTATCATTTCTCAGGTTGTTTGGTGAACCCTTACATGAACCCGGAGGTCTCGTGGTATAGTGGGTACGACTCGACCGGGCCTCAAGTAAAGAGGGTTGAAACGCGACGTGTGAAGGCATGCGCACACAGTGGACCTTCCAACGAATGAAGTCACATCCTCAGAGACACGGTCCTGAGAGGTGTCTTTTTCGTCCTCCGCAAGCGACCATCACCGAAGACTTCTTGTCACTAGACCACGGCGAACAGGACCCTGTCAGCACTGAGGATGGTTTGACGATCGACACGAACGGCTTACAGAGAAGGAGACGAGAAGCATCGGTAACCAAAACATAACCCGTATGTACAAAATACGGTGAACCGACCACCCGTTGGTAACAGCGGATTGTGGAAAGGAAGTAGATCAGAGGACGATTGACTTTGTCAAGAACCGGGTCAAAGAGTCAAGTAGTTTGAACTGGTTCAAACGTGGTAACAGCACATAGGTGAGGGTCCCAGAGCGCAAATCGTCAATGACCCGTCTCTTGACTGACGACAACAGAGGGAACTGTATGTTCTGTGTCGAAGGTCAAACAGAGTCCTGGTAGGAATGTTCCACACTCCAACTTCCTCATAAGGACTTCGCAGTTCTTTCTTGTCGATAGCTGGTCAACCTTGAAGAAACGGCTACCGACGTCAAGACCTGTTTTGCGCAGAGACTACAGTCCACCATCACGACGACAGACGACGGGACTTAGGTGGTGGTCAACTCTCGGTAGTTTCGGAGTCGGTCGTTTCATGCTGTTAGTTGTTGTGTGACATTGGTGATGGTTTCTTTAGTTTAGGCTACACAATTCTTATCCGAGTTCTAGCGGTTTTCATTGGTTTTATTCCTAAATCAGATGGCGTTATTTATTTAGCAATAATAGATATCACACACCACCAACCTCTATTGTAGAAGGCTCGCATAAACGATGATGGGCCCTACACACCACTCTGGACTACACTCCCTGAGGCATCCAAGACCTGCTATGAGCTGGTGTCTTGCGGATGCAAGAAAGGCTGCAGAAACCGCTGCAAGTGCAAGAAGGCTTCACTGCAATGCACTGGTCTGTGTTTCTGTGAAGGCGAATGCCAGTAGATTAGGACAGATAACTTGCTAGCTAACATTATGATCTGTAGACATTCATAATCCTGGTGACCAGATTTGAAAAGCTCAGATTCATAATTAACAGGATGGACGCTACTAGTTATAGTGTGGCAAAAGCTACGTTATTGTATCACATGTATGTACTGCAGGATTACACAATACTGAAAGTTATTGTATTGGCAACTGTTTATTGTGTCCTCTTCTTGAATCCACTTAGATTTGTTCATTTATATTAGATCTATCCATAAATGTATAACTGTAAGTACTGTGCCTAGAGACTGGGCTTTTGGTCGACTATATAACTACAATCTGACCATACTGTAAACTCCCCGTACTCTGTGTATTATTTTGACTACCATTCCATTGCAATTTTGCCAGCAATTTGAACTAAAAAAGCAACTTGAGCAATTAAAGTGTGTTCCTGAAATCAGGTACTGGTTATTAGAGGTATTATGTCATCGAATATTGAAATCTTCATCAAATTTCCACTTTTTCCACAAAATGGCGGCCAGTTTGGGGGCCATTTTTGAGAAGATTCATCTAAATATCTGTTAAACACTTATTGATGTTAATTCTGATGTAAAAAAAATGAATTTTGGCCCATCTAGCACCATACTAACGACACATAATGAAGTCTATGTAATGACGCTAATGGTAAATGGCGACCATTTTGAAAAATATCTTCCACAGGGCTAATCTGGAATGCCTCCATATCCAAAAATGTTCAGAATATATTAATCTACATGTGTGCCAATTTTGGTGCTTTTAGAACAATTTGAACAATTGGTTTCGTATTTTTTACTATGCCGCTGGAATAAATGTAATAAAAGAACAGAAGATTACATTTAAAATAACTGAGGTCCACTTGTTTCTCTGTTAAGAGGCCACTCACACAGACTTAACCTGTTAATGTGTCCATGTGAAGCAGGAGGCCTCAGCAATATAAAGTCAACATCAGCAGCTAGCAGTACAGCTCTTCTAACCAGCATGAGTAACTGTTTTTAACTACAACTGGTGGATTTAAAAAGTAAAACCGATGCTTTCAACAAAAAACTTTCAGGGAACAGGGAAAAGCTTGAGCAAAACTGTGATCACAGCAAAACGAAAAAGCAAGAAATAATGTTGTGGAAAAACTGGAATTTAATAAGAAATTATTACTAGTACGGTGTCAAAAACCTGAAAACAACCTTGCAAAATGATATCCCTGTATCAAGCCAACATGTGCTTTTAGCCTGTATGGAGCTCCACCCTTTGAGGCAACCAGGAAGAATACAGGATCATTACATTCAGTTGGTGTTATAGTCTTCAATGGATAGGCCTCTAACCGTGCAAATATCTGTAACGAAACCAACTTAAACCTTCAAGTTTTTAGTGAACGGTTGGTCCACTGAATCAAAACATCCTAACTTAATTCAACATGTTAAAAAAAAAACATAACTGTAAGTATGGTACTGCCATAAAGTCCAGCATGAAACAGTTAAACATTTCAGTCAGGTTAAAAGGGTCATCTGAGAGAAAAGGCCACTCCATTAGGGATGGAAGCCCCCGTTGGTCCGGGCTGGTCCAACGCCTCTGTCTTCAGTCAGTCCTCTGCTAGGTGCATTCGGTTGGAATCCACTGCCAAAGGAACTAGGAAAGGAAAATGTCAAACATAAAAACAACCTGATGGGCACAGGTCCAGCATGTCTGGTGGTCAGTAGGGGGCCACGTCAGTAGTTCTTTGCAAGTCAAAATCTGCTTAGCTACAGAATGTTTTTTAACTCTTTGAGTCCCAATGAGCAGCCGTCAGCTGTCAGTCAGGGCTCCCTGGAGTACAGAAGGTCGGTTGTGTTAGCGGTTATGTAACAGGCTGTCAAAGACAAACTTGGACAGACTGTCCCATGTGACCAGGCGAGCAGCCAGTGAGTGAAGGAGACTATCTATCACTCGATCAATCGTTAAGGCGACAGTCACACAGCTCCTTGTGGATTCTCTTGCGTATGCGCGGCATGTCCTCCTGACTGAAGAGCAGAGGCTGCCTCACCGAGAGACAGCGGCAGTACTGACAGAGCAAAACACAGAGAAAAGACCGATTTTAAAATAATGAAATGTAGATTGGCTAGACATGTTTATCTGCCTGCCTAGCTTTTGGTAATGAATGATACAATGAAAATGTAGTTAAACTATGCAATGTTTTTTTGGTCAAAATCTGACCCAAAGTGCAGTAAGGATGAAAAAGAGCTATCAATGCCATCAATGAAAAGAATAATAACAAGTGGCAATAACACACTCTACTAGTATCTCCCCCTCCCCTAAAGTGCTTAGTGAGGATTTCTACAATCCACAACAACCCATCTAGTTGTGAGAGCCAACCACAACACCAGATTGGCAAAAGTATGTGTTAAATTACCAACCTAATTCAACCGGATGTGCAAGCTGCCGACTTTGTGCTTTGTAGGAGCACAATTGTCAGGTGAAGAGAAAATGACCGTGGCACACAGTGGCCGGCACTGCGTGTGTTTTTTGTGAGAGAGAGACAGGCTTTATGTTGTTTATATATTTTTTTCAAATATCATATTTATGTCAGGCTATTCCACTAATTGCCTCCAGGCTGGTTGTGGCCCGCTGTCGGCCAATTGAATAGGCCCGACGTAAACAATGACAGAAGCTTCCCTACAGTGTCTTTCCCCTCTCAGAGACTCAGCACAGCTCGGTTTATATTTCCAGGAAGAAAAGCAGAAAAGCAGAAAATAGAGAAAACAGGGACATAACATGATGAAAAGAGATCAAATAAATCGGTGATGGACCGAAGGACAGTTGAATAGCGGGAATGAATAACGTCTAACCTCGAGGACGAAGACTCCACAGTCGCTGTCGTTTCTCTGCTGAGGAATGCCCTGAGGAGGCAAAATGTCACAGTCAAACAGGAGCAAACATGTCAGAGTTACATCTTCTTCTAGAATGAAATGCTGATGGATCTATATGTACTAATCTACTGTGCATGCATACAATAATTACATCAAGGTATCTAAAAGTGATGTTCAGGGTTAGAGTCGGTCAACAACATTACTGACAAAAACATTGTGTTTGTTCAATAAATGGCTTAATAAAAGAATAAACCCAGCAGATGTGAATATAATTATTATATGCTGGAATTATTTTTAGCAGAATGCTTTTGATACTTTAGTATAATTTGAATGGTATTGCTGACTTTGTGGTTCACCCTAATCATTTGACAAATACAGGTAGAGATGTTGTTGATACCATTGTTGTAGGAATCGGGTAGCAGGTGACATATGTTGTTTTTATGTAGCATTATTAATCTTAGAAATGTTATGAAGACGTGATATTGGATCGTTGCATAGACTTGTGTTTACTCCTACCGATCGTGCATTTAGGCTGTAATGGAGGCACTTTCCTCAAAAGGTATCGACACAACTCTATAAAGAAAGAGTCTTCCACCTTTTGCTTTGGACTAACATCAACTGTGGCAGGCAACATAAATGCTTCCAGGACACGAGGTGAGCACAGCGTGAGCAGAACAGTCAGGGTTCAAGGTCACCTTGATGATGGTAATCTTCCAGCCTTTCTGGAAAGCTGTCTGCTGCTTCTCTCTGGCTTCAGACTGAAGGTACTTCATTATGTTCTGATAGTGAAAAACACACACAGAGAACACAATTATGGATTGTCCCAGCAGCAAACATTTTCAACAAACAGCAATATCAATTCAGTTTCCATAATAAAGACGGTAATGTGCCAGCATTTTAAAGGGAGAGCAGATATAGCATCATCAACAAATCAACACTTCTCAGTCTTTCATGCAGATGGTGAAAAACGAGCTACACTTTAACCTGAAAATGATATGGCTTGGGGTCCGTAATTTGTCTTTCACAAATGAATCTACTAATTTACTATCAAAGTAAGTTCTGTTTTATGGCGAAAAACCTGGATTTTCAAAGAAACCACTCTGTCTATGTGCTCAAACTGAGAAAGCAACCATTAGTCGTGTAGAGTCTCTAGCTAAGTAATTATGGACCAATAATTTACGCGAGCAGAGAAAAACAGGATGTTGCAGTTAAAAGAGTTAAAAAATGGCCAAAAACAAACAACGATGAATTCCAACCCAAAAACATCCACAAACACAGAGGCTCTCACATCTGTGGTGTGTCTGAAGACGATGCCTTGGCTGTCGTAGTAGCTGATGGTTTTGGTTGCCATGGTGACCGTAATGAGAGACCAGTGGATTTCTAAATGGATGGGGAAGAGCAGCAGCCACTTGGAGAACAGGTCAACCTGCAATAATCCCACAAATTAACATAAATACAAATTAAAGCTCTTCAAATGCCAACACTTTAAAAAGTCAAACTACAGGACAAACAGTTCCTTCAGCATTTCTGTTGAGCACTAGTTTGCTGGCTGATTTCATTTATTCCAAGTTTAAAAGTAGGCACTACAAATAAGTCAGAAGTTAAAGTGTGAATTTCAGCTTTTGAAGCCAGTCTTAAAGCAACTGAAAAATGGCTAAACTGTTGAATCTTCATCCTTACTTTTTTAGTCCATCTCTTCACACCCTCGTAACCCTTGGCAACAAGCTGCTTGTGGAAAAAGCTGTTGAAAAAATGAACCTGAGATACAGACACAAAAATAAATTACTTTAAACACATTTCACAATTAAAAGAAGGACACATTGTGCTCATGTTCAGGCTCATACTTATTTTTGTACATTTATACATAAATATCTTTTTATATAAATGTTCTTTGTTTTGACACATCCTCACTTACCTTGTGTTGTGTTGCCTCCATGATGAGTTCTCCATACATGTTGATGATCTGAGCAAACAGCAAAACACACACAGTTTCAATGTAAGATCATATTAACATATTTTATACTTCTTGTTATCATTGCCAGATATGAGTTTTAGAGTGACCAATGTGTTCGAAGTTAGAAGAAGTGTGATGGAATAATTATTTGATGTCACTGTACAACGCTTCATCTGTGTTTACCTGGTCATTGAGCCAGTTTTGTTCCTCCAGTGTGCTGAGGTCCTCCAAGCCCAGGGTGTGTTTGTTATACGACAACATGAAGCCTGCGATAGGAGCAGAGGCCAGCCCCGCCCTGTACCGAGTCATCTCCCTTTTGATGTCCAGGCCGCTGAAACAAAAACAAGAAGATCAAATGAAGTAGAAATGTTATACAAATCTACGACCTTTTCATTAATACCCGCAAGGACATTTGAAAAGAGTGACATTTCATTAAAGGAAAGAGATCCCATGAGTATCATAACAATAACATTTCTTAAAAAAGGAAGGATTAAAGGTTTGAACAGAAACGAAGCTGCTAGTGTAATTTTAACAACCGTGCTTCCCAAGAGTTTTAACGATAGAATAATCTGAAAACCATATTGGCTAAATTTGGAAAAATTAGAACATAATAACATACCATGCCTAGATAATAAATGGTTCCATATGAACTGTAAATAACACAAAAGTAGAGTTGTGTTATATAAGCCCCACATAACCAGCAAACTCCTATTTACAAAGCTTCATTATCATTGTTTATGGCTTATATGTTTTACCTAATTCTTATCAACCTGTGACATGAATTACTAGTTTAATGTGTGATTGAGTGATTCAGATAAACCATCAAGCAGTGTGTGAGTTTGGGTGTGTGTGTCTTTGTAGACTAACCGGTTGCTGAGGTGAGTGTTGCCTTTCTTCTTCAGGTGTTCCAGGACATCATTCTCACTTAGAGGATTAAAACTTCCATACTTCATGTAAAAGCTCTCCAGAAACTCTGAAAGATTAGATAGATGATCTGCTAGCTTAACAACACCAACATGTTTTGTTTTCTCTGAGTTTAACACCCACATTTCTTTGGATTAGACTTGAGTAAACATACACAATGCTGGAATTTGCACATTGATTCCCAATGAAACAGTATTCCCTTGCAGTGTATGACGAACAAACATTTATGCTGTCATAGGAAAAAGAACACAAAACATTTTATTTCAAGGAAGAAATTATTATTTCTATTGTGTCTTTAAATTGTTAAAGAGAAACATTGGATACCCATTGATTCATAAAACATGCAGAGGACAACTGTTTTCATGAAAACTATTTGTGTAGGAAATTCAGTTCTTCTAGGAAAACGCCCCTTAAACATTCTTTGTGTATGTTTCAAGGATGAGGTCACATGTTTTTTATGATTATCATATGACAGGAAAAGTGCAATCCAAGACTTTGTGTTTTAAAAAAGATCAATGATCTACTACGCTTCAACACAATGAGAACAAATCTTACCGTGGATCATATCCGTAAGCTGCTCCAGGCTTTCTTTATTCTTCCTCTCTCCATCTATCACTTGTCCATTGGTTCCTTCTGAGGTTTCTTTGCCCCACACCTCCTCCTCCAGCCCCCCCCTGTCCCAGGTTTCAGAGTTACAGTACAGCCGGTGGTCTCTTAATGCCCAGCTGTGCTGCATGCTGCACACTGTGATTGGTCCCTGGAACGAAGGAGCAACCGGAGCTGGGTGAGAAGCATCCACCTCCATGAGTGTGGAGCAGTTGTTCACTGTTGGTGAAGCGTCTTTTCCATTGGACTGAGTTACTGGTACAGTTCTGTCAGGTGTCTTGTCCACCTGCATCTCAGAGTCCAGGTCCTTGGGAGACCCTGACATTGAACCTGGACTGGACAGCAGTGAGGTGGATACTAGTCCATTTTTCGTTACATTCGTCATCACGTTACCCTCTTTCGTCTCCTCCTCAGTGTCACTCAGGTTTACAGTGTCTCCATTTGCAATGGGAGGATTAACTGAGCTGGGGCAAGTTTGCTCTTCATGTACAATCTCTGAATCATTGTTTTGACCCTGCTTCTGCATTGAAACGACTGGAGATATTGCATGGCTTTTTGAATGAATGACAACACCACTTAAACCCGACAACTTTCTTTCACCATCTACTTTCATTTTTGATGCAGACGTAGCTATCGCCCTTCCCCTCGCCCCTCTCCCTCTGACTAATGGGAATCCCCTGCCTGCCATTCCTAGCATTGCAACATCCCTGCTACAACTGCCTACTTTCCCACCTAACCCTTCTATCAACACATCCCCCTTAATCTGCCTATTTTTTTTCTCTGGAGCAACATAGTGCTTTATTGGTTCCTCCTGCAGGGAGACTGTGACGGGTGGAGCACCAGGAGCTTCTGACTCAGTATCAGCAACGACTACAGTCCTTTGCACCTTCTCATATCGATCATGGTCACACTCTGCTTCCTTAACTGCCTCCTTGGCCAAATCAAAACACTTTATCCTTGTTAGCTGGCCATCCACTTTCCTTTTTGGGGTGTCCCCGAGGTCCCTACTAAGCCCCCTTCCTCTCCCTCTCCCCCTTCCTCTGCCCGAAGTATGGGCATTGTGTCCTGCACTGTTGGGGCCACAGCAGTCACAGGCTTTAGGGGTCCTCTTCCTGCCGGACGTACGGCCATTAACTGAGCCCTGAGAGGCGGTAGGTGTCTGTTGAGCGGACCAGGCTGACGCTGGGCTTGAAAAGGTAGTAAGTGCTTCTGCTTTGATTACAACATGGGGCTTGGTATCAGCAGAAATTGGAGTCGAGGGTTGTGTTGATTCTGAGTTTGAAGAAAGGTCTGTGTGGAGGGGTTTGGAAGGAGTCTGGGTTAGGTCTTGATGGGTAATATCTCCAGGTGGAGGCACCAGAGGTGGAGCTCCTTGCAGAGAAGGTGCTGAAGCAGGAACAGTTAAATGAGTGGATGATGTTGTCATTGGGGATGCAGAGCCGCTGTGAACCATGACGTCCTCCTTTGGCTCTTCAACCCCATCCCCAACTCAACCTCTCCGCACTCCTGTCCTCTCCTTTCCCAGTGGTCCTCTAAACTTTAGATGTTGTGGTTTGTTCCTTCCTTGATTTTTCTCCAGGTTGTTTTCCTTCAAGTACTTTTGGTGTGTAGGAATAAAGTTGCCCTCAAGCCTTTTCCACCATAGTGGTCATTGACTCGAACATGAAAGATATTAACCTGTTCCTCCGTGAGAGGTGGACTCTGTTTGGAATCCTAACACCATGGTCTTCTTATTAGAAAAGTAAGGAAACTGGGAGACAGAATAAGAGTGAAGAGACATTTTAGCAAGCTTCTCTGCGATGTTTTAAAGTGCAAAGCATGACTCATATAAAATCAAATGAATCTATTCAGTATATATAAGTCAGCAAAAAAAAAACAGACATTTATTCTGTGCCTATTTCAAAACTGAAGAAGCAATAGTTTTAACAAATGTCCTTATGGATATTAAAATAGATAACACATTTAAAATACACACATTTAATTCTTAGTAACAACCTTACATTACCCACATCTAACGTTGATGTTACTCTGTGCAACAGTAAGATTATCTTTAAATTACACGTGGATAACTGTTCAGAAACAGTATGTGATTATGTAGTTTTAGCTTGCAATTATTTCACTAACACACAACAAGTACTTAACTGAGACTGCAAGTCAAAAAAGCTTTACTTCTCAAAGAGGTGTTATTTCGTTTGGAAGCTAACCTCGTAGCTGCCGTTAGCAAAACAGCAGCCAAACGTATCTCAATTATTGAGCAGCAACATGAAGGTGTATGAAGATAAATTGACCATAAGCAGCCTTGTTAGGAGTTAGCATATTTGCAAGTGTCTGCTAAAACTACCACAACCAATTTAGTTAATAAGTATAAAAACAAACATTCCGTTAGCTCAGGCGGTTCAACACGGGGCTGCAGGGACACTCCAACACACCGTTTGAGAATCTAATGTACCATCCGATGATTAAACTAGCTCAAGTATTGGATTTCACAAATTATGCATAAATTAGTAATTCACTGGAAGCTAGCTAAATTAGCTAGGTTAGCTAGCTGCAGCCAAAACACAGGCGAAAACACAAAGCAGCGACTTCACACATTTCCTCCATTTTCGGTAGGAAGCTGGAGGCTTCTAAAGACACACATGATGACGCCGATCTATATTTAAAATGACAAGAAGCACAAGCCAAAAGCATGAAGAAAAGTGAAAAGAAAGACCATTATACTCTACCTTGTCTATGATATAAATTGAGTTGGTCTGACCACGATTTGAAGAAACAACAATTCAAGCAGTCGTCGCTTCTTGATTGCGTCACTGCGTTTGGATCATCTTCGGCTGCCTCCGTAACCCCTCCAATTGCTTAATCAATATTTCAATGTCATCTTCCTCTTCAACTGTCTATCCATAAAATGAGGTTTCTATATTGCACAAGAGACTATTTCTCCATTTATATTTACTTTTATTGGCATTAGCCCGCATGTAAATCACAGGATATATTTTACTCTTAATTTCAAGCTACTGTACATATGTATATATATTATACAAATATATTCTGTATATTTTATGTTTAGATACTCCTCTGAATATATGTATCTTTTTTTACTGAGAATATGTAGATACAGTTTTTAAATGTTTATCTTTATTTTATTTGTAATTTACATTGTACATTTGTAATCCTTGTAGATTGAATAATTTTCCTATAATAATATAATCTTTACTATAGAATAACTATTATGCATGATATATTACAAGTACTATTATGGTATATAATCCCTTTGATCATTATTATGATTTCTAACCACCAGACCACTGACACAGCACACACTGTATCTTGAAAACCTTTAATTACAAAATACAGGAAAACAATAAATAAAACTAACAGTCAAAAGTAAAGAAATTAAGTACAAAATTATCAACAGTAAAATGTAAAAAAAAAAGTAAAAAAGAGAATATTAACATAATGTTAACTGGTTGCTTTTAGACCAGTAGTTTCCAACATTTTCATAGCAATGACTTTTGTAAAACTAAGAAATCTACCACAGCATTACCTTGTTCTTTTTTTTTAACCAACAAAAAATATATTCAAAATATATTTGAGCTTAATTAAAAGTTTACGCTCACCCACTCAGACACTTCGGCTTCAAAGTTATTGCAGCAGATTATGTATTAACATAAACAAAGTCAGTCTGTTGCTACACATTTCCATTTGTACATAAGGTCAGTGCTATACCATTCTCTACTTGCATGATCAAAAACAACAGGCATAATAAGTCTCTTTACAAGTGTCATTGGGCTCCAGTGATGTTGAGAAATAAATCTAAACACCTAACTTTTCACATACATGTCCTGCATTAATATAGACAGGGGAAATCTTTTGAAAAGCTTGCATTTTAATAAAAAATATAGGAAAATATTGTTTAGGGTAGATGTGTCTTTACTTAAGTCGCTTTTTATATTGGAACCATGTGCAGTTATTTCTTTACAATTTGTACAGAAAAATAAAGATTTAGGCCATGTCTTTGGGTCAGCTGAAATATTATTCATAGAAAAGATGAATGATTTATTTCCCATTAGAACAAGCTCACAACCATCCTGATATTCTGATTAAAGAGGGTAGGAACAATGGTTTATGAGAGTGATCACTTTTACACAGTTGCATTCTATATTTTACAGCTCATGTTGTCTGCACTTGAACTGCTATGATAAACATGTTGCACTATAGACAGTAGAGAAGTGGATGTTGGGGATGTTCAAGAGCTTGGTGCGTCAGATGATGACATCTGCAGAGTTTGGGCCTGAAAGAGATCATTGGTACGGTTAATAGACAAAATATGACAATTATAAAGCTTTTATAGAAAACAGTAAATGTATGCTATTGGTTTTTTGACGGAATTACAAATAGCTTTTAACAGAGATAAAAACAGCAGTGAGTTACTTGGTAAGAACCATTACCGATCAGAGTGTGGCGTTGATAGCTGGAGTGTGTATGGTCTTGAAGACTGTGGCCCCTTTGTTTCTCCCTGCTGTTAGCACCTGGAGCTGCAGCTGGTAAACACTTTCAGCCTGAAGACCATAGAGTGGCACAGACCGCTGATACTGTGGAGGGCAAAGCAGGGTAAGTTCACAGACACACACATCATATACACTATTCATGCTTCACAATAACACAAATATTGTAAAATATTGAATATCACAAGACTCTATTATGCACTATTGGATTTGTTTGCCCTTTTTTTAATTTCAAATTAAATATGTTAATTTTTAACATAAATAATATTTTTTTATCTGAACTGTCTTCTCTGCTGTAACAATGTGCATTTTGTTGTTACGCTCCTGATTCCCCATTTTAAATGTAATTTAATCAGCTTTTTCCTTTTGTATTTTGTGTATTGTTTAATTACTTATTATATCTCTTTAAATACAAAATTAAAATAAATAAGGAAAAATGTCCCTTTCATATTTCTAAGGAGTTTCCCTATTGCTGGTAATATACAATCCAGTCAATGTAGACCTGTCGTGTCTCACCGGTGCGATTGTCTTCGTCTGGGAGATAAGTGTGTGCTCCTGCCCCTCTGTTGCCGTGGTAACCCCTGATTGCAGCGTCCAGGTGAACTGGAAGCCCTCCACAGCTGCAGGGTCAAGTGCATGCTGGGACATCCTCCAGCGAAGCGTCGTGAGCAGGGTGCCATTGACTTGTTGGAAGTCTGCGGTCAGTCTTTCTGGACGCAGTACTACCTTTCTGCCTGCCAGGAGGCGCTCTGTCAACAACAGAGGACATTTGTCAGTGTGCATAAAAAACCGTTGTGCAACAAAAAAAGTTTAATTAGCAGAACTTCTGGAATTTTATGTTTAACCTTTTATTAAGCAAATGTCTATAACTTGCCACAAATGTCTGTAAAAAAAAAAGCCATACTCTGCTTGTAGCTTCGTATAAATAAAGTTAGAATCCTTCAAACAAAAGATACAATGAGATAAGATAAAGTTCTATTCATCCCCGTAGGGAAACTCAGGGGTTTTATTAGACACAGAAATAAGATTGATACACAGGATAGTACAGGTAAGAGTTCACACAAGGATTTATAAAGAATTGGGTGATGCTGTTTACATATATACAAATACGGATGATTTGAATATCAATATATATATATAAATGTCTGGGTGAAAGTGCATGTCCAAAGTAGGTAGATACGGTGCATGTTCATATTCTTAATGCAGCACCTCTTGTGATCAGTGTAGTGTCAAAAATGTATGCTACATCGTCTTAATTGTTATTTTTGCATTTATTTAGAATTAAAGAGAAACATAATTACACTTTTTTTACACTAGCAATCATGAACCTTGGCTTGACCTTAGTTGTTATGACTTAGTTTTAAAGGATTATTAGTCATTTTGAAAGCTATTTATTATTTCCTTAAGCAGTGTATAGACTCTATAGACATGTCACTCATAGAAAGTGAAAATAATTCTGTGAAGATATATAGTCTCACCTTCATTGTTGCAGGGCAACGCTTTACCTCCTCTAACCTTGATGGAGGAGCAGGTCGGGGTTGTAACCCAGGCGAGGGCCTCTGTCCCTGGGTCAGCCTTCGTTGATACGGCCACCCTGTACTTACAGGCAAACTGCAGGCCTGTGATGGTGTGATGGGTGCCCTGGAGAAAGAAAATCAAGCCAATTTAAGGATAAAAAGATTGTTTAAACTGTACACAGCTGCTTGTTAAAACAAACATATTACAAGGTTTCCTAAAATACACACATGACCTCTATTTTTGTTTGGAAACCTGTCTCACATAAGCAGCTTGTTAGCTCCATGTTCAAATAAACATCTCCGTTTGAAACAGCACTTGGCAACTTTGTAGGTTGGCAGCTTCAAATGGCGAGAAATTGCTTAACTGTTAAAGAAACGTTGAGCTTCAATAAATAGAAAATCATGCTCTGTGACGCCAGCAAATTGCAACCAGCACTTTGATATTTATCAAGCCACTGGGTCTGTGATCATTTTAGACGAGAGGTCAACACCGGGTCAACAGCGGGTAAAATGTAATGTTGGTGAGTAGTTTTCTCTTGATGAAATGCTGTGAGCAGATACCTAGTGCACGGAGATACCTAGTGCACTGAGATACCTAGTGCACTGTATACACTTAATAACAGTTTGTCTTTTAAAAGGCTCCTCTTTATTGCAGCTACTTCATGATTTGGGACTAAAATTGCGGCATTTTTCAGATTTGGGGGCCATAAATGAAAATCTAAAGTAGATTTTGTTTAACATATGTAATGGTTATAACTAAGATAATTCTGCAAATCACTGTCCCATAACTCCTTCTCAGTCAAACCCCTTTCTTTATTTTCAATTGTATATATGTGTATTGTTAGGATATTTTAGCCTTGGATTCAACATTGTGATGATAAAAGATATGTGAGTTTAAGAAAGAGCAAGATGATAGTGGAGAGAAAATGTTACACAAAGAGTGATCTTAGTTAAGCTGATCAAATCTGATCTCTAATACAGTCATGCACACAAAAAGACACAATAACAATGCTCACATAGAAATAAAACAGCGACAGATTTCACGCACACAGAGGCAAATAAAACTGCTCCAAAACTGACTGGTCCAGGACAGAAATACCTGAACAGTTGTGGTTCTGTCTGTGCTTGTAATATTTATACAGCAGGTATGTGGACGCCATTGCAAAATGTATGGACCCCGATGTTTCTGCTTGCCTGTAAAGCAAAAGACAAGACGGATACAGCATAAGTGGAATGTTTGTATTGTGTTAATTATTATGAATTTCACAGTTTGAAACCAAAAAAACAACAATTTCATGATGCACATTTATGAACTTCCCGCCAAAATCAACTCACTGTGGTGAGGCCACTTCCAGAACACCTTAACCTGCAGCTGGTCGTCATGGTAATGAGGGGCGGCGACCTCCAGGCGCAGGTTACCAGGGTTAAGGGAGGATTCAGGGTGAGGCAGAGAGGGGGAGAGGGAGATGTCAGGGGAGGAAGGAGAGGAGGATGAGAGGGAAGGTGAAGAGGGAAGAGATGATGAGGATGATGAAGATGGGAGCTCATTGGAGAATTCTTCACCTTTAGTGGAGGACGAGAGGAGAAGAGACAGTGGAGAAAAATGAAAAATGTCGCAACTTTCAACTTCAGCTGATTTTAAGGTATTTGTTTGCAATAAAAAAAAAGCGCAATAAAAGTTAGAAAATATAAAAACATATAGCTAATACAAGAATAGCCTTGCAATTTAGAAAATATGTTATGTTGTCAAATAACTTTAAATGTAAAGACCTCCAAAAAACTTAAACCTAAGCTTTGAGTCTCAAAGCAGTATTACAAAAATATTACATTCTTCAGTAGCTCTTTTTGAGTACCTAACTGGCAACTTCGCAAACACATTTGAATGACTGAATGTTTGAAACCTGTTATATAACACGTGCTATCTATGAATGTATTATATTGTGCCTGGAATACCATAAACTGGTGCAGAGAGTGCAGCTGGTAGCTAGCTTTCCCGTTAATTCCTTCACTCAGAAGCATTAAATGGTTTTATCTGGCCTACCTGACCCTCATTAGCATTGAGGGAAACCAGGCTAAAACGTGGACTGTGTCAAATATTAATACTGGAACATTATAAATAATTTCCACATTAAATTGTTGATATGTGGTTTGATAATTGAGCTGCAGCTGGCTATAATCCTCTGCTGGGCTGACCCACAGGTCACCAATAAATACCTCTGTTGCCTGGACGACCCTTTACATCGTCACTTTCCATTGTATGTTTGTGTTTAAACTGTGCAGCTGCAGGCAGACAAAATATGCTGACAGACAGTAAATTCAGCTACTTTGGGGTCCGTTACCAAATGGGCGCGATGGAGTGTACAGTATTAACTAAATGCATGGCAGGATAAGTTTGAAAAATGAGTGAGTCTATATTTAAAGCAGGAGTTGCTCGGGGAGTCCTTAGGTGGCTGTATTGTTGCAACACAGAAACAAAAACAGTACAGGTACAGTTTACACTACTCCGGCAAACACTTGGTCAACCAAGCAACTCTTCGTTTATTTATAGCCACTAAAAGTGTATTCACTCAAACACAACTGTACAAAACCTTCTGGATATTTGGTTCCTAATTAAATATAAAACATACAGTATCTTCTTAAGCGACTTTGGGATCTATACATGTATATCACATTTTAGAATAAATACAGTATGAAGCTGCATATTCTTTATTACAATATTAGACCCTGTATCATGAACTGCACCTATTTAAACACTTTGGGATTGCTTTTAGCTATGAAAAGTGCTTTAAAAATAAAAGGTATTATTATTTGTATGATTATTCAACTCAGACAATATTCATTTCTGTATAACATCTTCATATTGATAGACATTAAAAAGATAGACAAAAAAAACGTACTCCAAATCCTTAAATGGATTTCAATCCCAATCCAAACAATTGGATATAGTTGTATGTGAAATATCAAAAGTATACCATGATGAGGACAATTGTTTGTTTACTTACCTGTATGACTTATTGTGTTGACGACAATTTGGGCTCTGGGACTTTTCAGCCTCTTCTGACCCCAGTAGGCCACCGTCTGGACGGACAAGAAATAGGAAGTAGCTGGCAACAGACCCTGCAGCCACATCTCACACTGCGCCTATAACACATCAAATGTATGGTTTATTTGTCTTTGCGATTGGTGATACTTGGCTACTTCTTAGTCTGACATTTAGATTTGCTAGAATTTAACCTTGGTGTGATAGAAATGGTACAAAAATACATTCAAAATCTAATTCAGGATCACCACTATAGCCATCACAGTTATTATCTTCATCATCCCTACCGTCATCACGAGTGTTGTGCCCTGCTTTGTGACTGACGGTCCAGACCTGTTCTGCATTAGTCTGCTGTTTGACTGACAGCTAATTAACAGGCTCTTAGTCAATCAGGGCTGTCTGCCTGTGTGGATTTGAGCTAGTCACAACAAAGAGATGCTTGGATGATAACAAACGTGCGTGTGTGGTTCTGTATGTGTGCACACTTAAGAAAGAATGAGACAAAAGTAAGTTAAAAGCAATTTCTTGGTGACCTGCAGACAAAATGGGGTTGAAGTATTTCCATTACGCTCAAGATAGACAAAACATATGGCCTTTACAGCTGTGTGTGTGTGTGTGTGTGTGTGTGTGTGTGTGTGTGTGTGTGTGTGTGTGTGTGTGTGTGTGTGTGTGTGTAAGTGAGACAGAGAGAAGCCTGGAATTGTATTCTGGTGCTTAATGTCAGTGAACATTATACTGTATGTAAGAGGCTGATGTGTATTTAAAAGCACTGATTCAGCTGAGGTTTTTCCATGTTTTCTACACTTCCTAAGGATTTCCCCTTTTACTGTTTTTTCTTAATGCTAAATACCTCCAGTGCTGCATAAATGCCTTACTGACATGATATAGATTTGAGTACACATCTTGGGAATGTATTGTCATGGGCTAATGGATAGTAAAAATAAAAATGCTCTCTGGGTTAAGAGAACTATTTTATGCAGCGTAGAGCTGGTATTCTGATTCCTACCTACCTGTGTGATGCTGCTGTCTCTGTGTGTGTCTAGATGCAGCTGAAAGTAGGAAACACTAGTTAGGGGGCCTCGTTTAAATTCCAGGCGTCTCAGCCAAGCAGAACAGAGGACCAGACTAGAGATAAATGGCTCCACCAGGCTCAGTCTGGGATCGCCATCACCACTTAGGATAGTTAGGTCCGTTAAAACTTCCAAACTTTGATGTTTGCAATGCTTTTGTCTCTTCTCTTGAAGTGGACGCTCACATTACAACATTTAAGTCTAAAGCTGAAAGATCCTTTGCAAAGAGTACTGTTCACCAGTGTGAAGAATAAATGTTCACTTCGCATGCAATCATAAGTGTTGCTTCAAAGCTGTAATATCTTTGTTGTTTACTGTGATTATGGGTATTTTGGCGCTGCTGACTGGACTTAGTTGCAACGTGAACATATTACATCACCATCACGCCCATAATCATATAGTTATACCCACCCTCCTGACTGTTATTGCTGCATTACATGTCATTTTAAAAAGTACAGCAAAAAACCTTTTGCATTTTTTAAGGAGTTAATCTTTGATTTGAGCAGCAAGGAGACAGCAATGATTCACTGTATATTCACAGTAAAATAAGTTCACATCTTGATCAACAGTCTGCAAATACAGGAATGAATAATGATCTAAACATCAGTCATATAACTCTACCTTGAACAGATCTTCTACGATAACTGGGCCCTAACTCACTAAAGGCATGTTGTCAGTACAATCTCAGATGCTTTGACTTGAGTTAAACATGTTATCCAATGGCTAATGGCTAAGACGTCATGTTATTTACCGCTGTGAAGCCAGACCTGCATGTTTCCAAAGCACTCTAACAAAGTTAAGTCCTGAAGAAGATAAGGTAATGTCTGTTTGAGGACAATATTGCATTTTCAGATCCACAAGGAACATGTGCCGAAACTGCAAAAGTAAAGGGAACGCGTGCCTAACAGTGATTTCACGGGGAATACGTAAAACCAGATCTGAAGAGGAGCACATGTAAAAATGATTTCGGTAAATATATCAGCATGTAAACATCATAAAACCAAATCGAGAGAACAGTACTTATCTTTAAAAGTTAAATCAACTTTAGTGGCATCTAAGCTTCATGTAAAAGTTTCCAGATTTACATACTGTATGTAAAAAAGCTTTTTTCCACCTCCTAATAGTTGATCATTTTTAAATCACATGCTTTAATGATATAACTGTTTCATATATGTCTATATTTTAATGTCATTCATTTGGAATAAATCCAAATGAGTTTTAATGTGAGTGAATCTTACTGTACATGAACTAGTTGCATACAGAAGCTGTTTACAGAACACTGTAAAAAGCAGAGGACTGTAAAAATCGATGTGGTAATCACAACCAGAGGACTATAAAGAATGTGTGTGTGTGTGTGTGTGTGTGTGTGTGTGTGTGTGTGTGTGTGTGTGTGTGTGTGTGTGTGTGTGTGTGTGTGTGTGTGTGTGTGTGTGTGTGTGTGTGTAAGGGGGGTCAAGCTCCCCTTCACCCCAGTTGTCACAGCACAATAATTCGACCCTCGTGGGGCCTCTCCCTCTGGACGGTCAGGTGTTGATGTCTCAGTGGACCTACGAGGCTGTACGTGTATGAGCGCGTGTTTGTATGTGGTGTGGGAATTACGCGTTTGTGTATGTCACGTGTTATTGTACGTGTGTGTAGTAAGTGTGAGTGCGTGTGGTCTTGTCCTCATTTTTCCTCTCGTCGTGCGTCTCACCTGAGTCCCCCATTCCTAAAAAATAACATGTCTTGCTATTACTGTGAAGTTACTCCTCCTAGGACATTATTGTCCATTATCTAACGAACCGCATCTTGTTTCGTCATATGTTTAGAACGGTGATCGGTGGGCATTTCGAGTTATTAATTTTTATCTTTAGTGGTAAACATGTTTTTTTCTTTTCGACCTGTTTACATTTACACACCAAAATACCCAATACGAGAGAAGCACCGCGTCCTCGTACTCCGAGCACCTCGGCACGGTGACCAAGGACCGTTGGAGTACCACTTTTACTTCTACAACCGGTTCCTTTTCTCTAGAAGCAGTACGATAACAACCCGTTCTTTCGCTAATTCGATCATTTACTTCTTATTACAACTCCTTAACCTAATTGGGGATCAATTGGTTCAAAATTCAGACTGCACATTTATCCGAGACATTTTTTAACTTAATTCTTACCGTGTGGTACTGGGTCATGTCTTTAGATGTCGACGTGGACTACCTAAAATGACCCAGACATTTGGGTACGTGGTCGTGGTGTGT